TTCTTTTACTACTAAAAGGCTCAAAGACTTTTGTTTCGAAAAGACTTTATTGTTATTATTATTGTTTTTTAATCTGTGAGAGCAAGCAGCCCTTACCTAGGGTCTGAACTTACCAAAGTCAGGGACCGCACAATAACGCGGTGTCTCCTGAAGACCTCGATCTATCCCCAAGGATTGTTCCTGGGAGGGAATCCCGTGAAGGGACACTTTCCCCTTGGCCATAAACAGCTCCAGAGACGCTCACGGCGCCGAGTCACAACCCAGTTGTCCCAGAAAGCTGCCGAATCCCTTGGGACCGATGAGCTCCACACACTCTCCGGGCGACCCCGTCCCCGCGACCCCGGCCCGTCCCCCCGCGTCCCCCCGCTCCTCTCCCTCTCCCCACTCACAGGTCGCCGCCTGGGCCATCGCGATGGCCACCGCCAGCAGCGGGAGCCACCGCGGCCCCATAGCTGCCGGGGGGCGGCCGGGACTGCGCTACTCAGCGGGGCCGGGCGAGGCTCCGGGGGCGGGAGGGAGGGACGGCGGGGCGGGGGGGAGGCCGGGCAGCGCTGCCCTGCGGGGAGCGTCAGCAGGGCACCGGGGCAGCGGCCTGACCGGACACAGTGGGCCGGGCACATAGGGCTGAGCGGGCATCCCGGCAGAATGGACCGAAACAAGCACGGCGGCTCTAATAGACCCGTGTTAGTATAGGGTCACCGTGTTTACTTTCGCACGGGCCGGGGGAGCGCGGCGGAGGGGGCGGTGGTGATTGGGTCATGCTCGCAGCTGATTGGCTGATCGGGCAGAGCCGCCCGGTCCTATTGGCCGGGCCTCGGGTAACCCTCTTGCCTGCCATTAAGTGTGTCCTCCCGCGGCCGCCGTTCGCCGTATCCCGGGGTGAGGGGCCGGGGGCGCCTCTCACGGAGTCGGAGCCGCCTCGGGCGCGGCGGGGCCGGAGAGGGGCCGTCGCCCCCGGCTGCTCCTCCCCCCGCAGCCTGGGGGATACCGCCACATCCCGCCGCCGTGGACCGCTCGGCCTCAGCCGGAGCCACCGGTGAGCGGCCGGGGGGGGGGGGGGGGGGCGGGGGGGGGGGGGGGGGGCGCAGCCATGTGGGGGTTCGGCAGCCGGGAGGGGGAGGTGTCCACCCCTTAGAAAGTGGTTTTCTTTCATATAAAACAAACAAAAAAAACACGTTCCGCGGTGGGAGAGTCGAGTGAAGGGACTGTGCATGGGTGTCTGGATTTTGAAGTTGCTTCTTTTTTGGAAGGGGAGGAGCGTGGCTGGGAAGTGCAGCGGATCTTGTAGTAACTTTGCCTTTCCTGGAGAGCTGGAGGTCCTAAAGCTGTTTTCTTGTAGTGACTTTTCCAAGAAAGCTGGCGGTCTCATAGCTGTTTTCTTGCATATACTCCTATGCTTCAAGTCTTTTCAAGGCGTCGCGGTTCTCGGGGTTTGATTCTAAAATCGTTCTTAAAATGCTCAGAAACGGCCGCTTGCAAAATTTAAGTTTTGCTTGAGGAATAACTTTTTGGAAGTTCTCAAAATCGTGCTCTGGCTAGAGGCCCATCATTATTCTGTCTGGAACCAGTGACAGCTTTAAGGACCGATATCTTTTGACATGGCAGAACTGAGAAGTGGAATTTTGTGCCACTAGTAGGAAAAGGTTTTCAGTTTTCTATAAAATGATAACCCACCATCACCTTAATCTGAGAAATATGTACCTAACTAGGGAATATTTCAGAACTTTTCTTTTTCTAAGACCTTGCTAATTGAGGTGCAAAGATTTTCTTAATCAATATGTGAAAACCACTGTTTGAAAACTACACAAAACTAAAATTCTGTGTAAGTCTATGTATATATAAAATAAAATTCAAACACGTCAGATGAGGAACGTTACAGTAGGAAATTGAATAATTAAGCTCCGTGAGGAGGGTCAGGTTTAAATGGTTTGTTAAATTGCGTTTCAAAGAACGTGAAACCCTGCTGTGACTGAGAGAAATTCTCTACTATAAAAGCCTCTACTGAAGGTACAACATTTAATGTAGATTCTTACAGTAAAATGTGTAAAAGGTGCTGGTTTTGCACTTTGATATGAAAGCAGATAAACATATTCATTAGATGACTTTGGATGCTGGACTTGCTGCTACCCATTGCTTTGAATCGAGAACATCAGGGCTCCTGAGTACCTCTTGATCTTAATCTACACTGTTAGTGCACTTATCTGTCTTGTTTTTCTTTCTGCTACACCTTTTTTTGTACTTAAAAGTGGGATCTTTGACATTCTTAGTCCTTGGCACTTGTGCTGACCTGCTACATAAATGGTGTACTGGCTTAACTGTGAAATATTTCTGACCTTGGTTTTGTTTGACCTTAACAGGCACAAAAAGTTTCAACTGACAGATGTAATGTCTGGAACAGGTTTTGGATGTTGTTAATGCAACATATAAAATACCTGTCATGTGCCATACATATTTCAGGGATCGAGTCTCTCCAAGCTCCCATAACACAATGTGATTTGCCTCCCTACCATGATTTTTTTCAGCAGCGTTGAATGCCCTTTGTAGTGGCATGTTTGTGGAAGTTTTTATCTTATTTGTGACTTCCTGCCCACCTACCTTTATGATTCCATATTTAAACAGAGATTCCTGTGCTATGACATAGTAATCCTCTGCTCTTCAGTCTTTAACAAGTTTTCCTGGTCTCCTGAATCCCATTTGAATGCTCTGGGCCATATGTGTGCTGAGAGCAGTTTGCAAAGCTGGACGGTCTGCATAATATGGGGTGGGAATTGTTCTGTGGGGATGCTCAGGCACTGAAAATGCCACATTTTTGTCATTTGACAAAGTGACAATGGCACACTTTGTTCATTGAGCTGTTACATTTTGTTTTTCAGTAGACCCAGCTGAAAATGCGTGTAACTGTGTTCTCAAAGTTAGCTCTGTTGTTGCTTGTGGGTTGAGGCACCATACCCCACTGCATTTTTTTTTATGATTTTGTGTTCTTCAGAACCCAATTTTACTACTTGTGATAATTGCATTCATCTTGCTCTATTTTCTAAAAACTTCTGTGTTCTTCATGCGCTCAGCTCTCCTGTGGAGAAGCTCAGGTTCTCTTGTACAATGGAATATAAATGTTTGAAGAGTATCTGTCTCTGCTTCGAAAGAAATCTGACCTATTTCTGATATTAAATGACAGCAAATCCACACAAAGACATCCTTGAATACAGCAACTTCATGGGATCAGGAAGAGCTCTCAGTTCCTACCTGTATAAAATTATCTAAACCACCACAGTTTGTTAGGGACAACATAGGTGTATTAGGGATAGTTCCTCAATTCTTTTTCTTTTTCACTTTTGTTGGTCTATATTTGAAAGATGACCGATGTGGAAAGTTGTTATAATCTCTAATTATTCAGTTTTCTGCATCATTTGAAATTACCTTGGTTTGAGGTTAGTTATAATTTAAAATATGAGAGGGATTTTGAGACTCAAGCTTTAGGAGGCTTGCTGTGGTAATTCAGAGTGTCACAACTCTCAGTTCATCTTCTCATGGAGGCAGGTTGGCAGTAGGGAATATGTGTCTGCATCCCAGCTGCCCTGATGTGAATCCAGTTGTTTTCTTAGCTTAATCTGCTGATCAAAATGGGAGCTGAGATGAGCTGAGGTGACAGTGCACATCCTATAACATAAAACTCAAATCATGGGTTATTTTCCCCCAAGTTTAAATTTCCTTGAGATGCACACTGGATTTCCCCACCTTTACATGTTACCCACCAAGTGCACTTGAGAAAACATAATCCCACAAATGGCTTTGCGTTTTCCCAGGGGAGAAGCAACCTAAACCGCGTTTTCCAGCCCCTAACAAGTGCTGGACTCTAATATACAGTAAAGTAAAAGACCTTTACCTCGACAACTACTGTTGTTGGCCATAGGATTATTGTAACTTGGATAACTAGGGGAGTTTTAAAGCTTTTGCATCTCTGTGCCCTTGACTGCATGGTTTGTGTAAGCTTTACTATTTTATAAATAAATATATATAAACATAAATAAATATAAATGTGTGTACAACAAAATAGCCAAGCACATATCACACAGTTATTTTCCATTGTTTTTTTCATAGAGCAGTGTGAAAAAGGAATATTCTCAGTTTCTTTCTACTTAAAGAGTAGAAAGTGGGATTGTAAAATGATGGAAGTAATTGATACTTCCATTTAATTTAGTGACCATTACTAGATACAGTTGCCAGTTCCTCAAAATACTCAATAGAGAACCCAGTTTCCTTGTTGTGGGATCTTTTTGTGTTAAATGAATACACTTAGCAGGTAGGGACATTCTGTGTTTGCTTTTAATGCCTTATCCTGTTATGTTCTTATAAGCCTTACTCATGCTTGAAATTGGTCCTTGCTTTCCATCCCTCAGCAGAACTGTGGGATGTGTCAGCAAGGCAAGCACTGGAATTTTGTAGCTTGATACGTCTTGCTCCTCTAACTTGCAGGTTTCCTTGTGTGCAGTTGCTTTGCGTTATTACTTTATGTGAATACTGTGTTGTTGCTGCCCAGATACGTAAAATGGGGGCAGATGAAGTTTAAGAGGATGGAAAAGAGAAAGAAATAATGGGATTGTCATGGGCTAAGTGAACATGAACAGATAGGGAAATGCCTTGCCTTGGTTAAACATAGGGGCTAACCATGCCTTTTTTCCCCTTCTTTTCCTTGCTAGCAGCAGTGACAAGACAAAGTCTTTTTGGGTTGCTCTGGCCTGTCCACATTGTTTCTGGATGGCTCTGGATGGATAGTGAAGAGGGATGTTCAGTCTAATGGCCAATTGCTGCAACTGGTTAAAACGGTGGCGGGAACCTGTCAGGTAAATATGGGAAACTATTCTACATTTCTGTGCTGACCTTCCTGTATCCCACCTATACTTTACTTCATTTGCTTCATATTTTTTAATTCAGTTACAAAAATTCATCAGTTTTTTTCTCCAAGAGATAATTAATACATCTTCT